CCCCCCCACACACACACAAAAATATTTTGCACCCCGTCAGAACGTTTTCCTATCCAAATATTATACACCTCCTCAGAACGTCTCCCATTCTCAGAATGTTTTCCCAACCCGGTACCCACAAGGAACTATGCCCCCAGAACCATGCTGCAGTTTGCTCGGTGGCGCCAGACGCCCTCTCACTCACCTCCCCCCGGAATTTTCAGTTGATACGCAACAGCAATTTGGAACAGACAACTTACAAAACTAACTATTGACATTTGCATGTTTTTCACTGATAAACTGACAAAATATGTTAACTGATAGGTTGACAAACAATCAAACAACAAAGCGGACACTAGGCGGGATGAAGGGGACGACAGACGCCCCAAATACAATCTAAACAAAGCAACTAAGTGGTAAATTTTTTTACCTTTCCCTCGACAAGTGAAGAATATACAACACGACCAACAAAGAAAGCCCAAAACAGATGTAGAACCTTTAGAAACGGAAAAATACAAATAAATGGAGATTTCTTCATGGGAAGTGCTGACGTACATTTAAAAGCTTTTTGATGTACATCAGTGAATGTACTGACGTATTGTGCTGACGTACATTTGACATACATTATATTATTATTCAGCTCACTCCCTATTGGGGCTTTTCACTTTTCAGTGACCGATTACATCAAGTATTACGCTCAAGTTACCCTAATTAGCCTAGACTATTTATCTTTACAACTATTGAGATATTACTTTCCTAACTGTGTTTATTCTAACCCATCCTGTCAACTTTCCCTGTGGGAGGAGATCGGAGTACCCGGAGAAAACCCACGACTTTCGACAGAGCGTTGACAGACTCTTTTCACATGAGTCCATAGCGAGAATCGAACCCACGATCTCAGAGGTGAAAGGCGCTGACTCTGACGACTGCGCCACCGAAGCCCGATACTAATTACATACTAAAAATAAAATAAACACACACTAATTACATACATGACGTACATACACATGTGCTGACGTACATTGTAAATGTACGCATTTAAAAGCCTTTTAACTCTATTGCGTAGTTCAATCAAGGTTATCATTTCAAAGTCAAAACTCAAAATCGGAAAACCTCGACCTATAAGCGCGAAAAGCACAATGGATGTGCATAGAATATGCATGTGATCGAGTGCCATAAGGGGCACGAAAGTTGTGTTTTGTAAAAGAAAGTTGTTATTTGTCCAGTCATGGAAACCAACGAGCTTTGACTATTTGTCCGTGAATTAATTTGACTGGTTCATTTAACTGGTCAGCGGTTGTTTCACGCAATAAAACCGGAACCTTACCCGCACTTAGTCCCTTCCCTAACCTCTAACTGAACAGGGCACCTGCTGGCAGGTCGATACATGCATCTACATATAGCGTGTACATGGCAAGTGCCTTAACCAGTCCACTCGGCTACCGCGGATTAGCTTGAAAGTCAATGAAATTTACTTGATGTCATTCTAGCAAGCTCACAGAACGAAGAAATTAACCAATCGAATTAATTCACGGAAAAATAGTCAAAGCTCGTTGATTTCCGTGACCGGACAAAAAGAAGCATTAAGAGACATAAACATGTCCATTTCACTTCTCGCGCTTAGAGGTCGAGCTATCGCGGTTGTATATGTTAGTTTTGACTTTCAGAAGACAACGTTAATTGAAATTTTAATAAACTTTAATAAGCATTAAGATAAACTTTCTTGATTTCATTTAATTTCTTCAGAGCCTGAACAAGGCCGATTCGTGGTTTGAAACTATGAATAAATGTGTGTAGAACCAGAGATGGTCTGAAAACTTACAGTATAGCCCTGGTGTCGCTTTAAATTTTTATCAAATGTTTGAAGCAGCTTTCAATTGTCGAAGTGATCAATGACTATGGAAAGTTGCTGTAGGTAATTAAAGCAATTAAGTCCAATAAATATTGAATCTTTCCGTAAGTTGACATTCTCATTACCTGAAGCAGAGAAAGCAAGGTGATAAATGGATACCAAGAGTTAAAATGTCCACAAATCTCTCTCGCTTCAAATGCCACTGTATTTAAGATCCTAAAAACAAATAATGTTAAAAATGTTATGAGTACAGTTGAGAGATAAATCATTGACGCATTTTATAAATATGCCTGCCTTTACAATATATAAACTAATTCGTAGTCTCGACTGCGCATTTAAATGCCTTCTGAACTGGGATAAATTATGGCGTGTTTTTTTTTTATTTCCAATGCTCTTGTGAAATAACACTTCTCACGACAAATGTTATAAATATACTCTGTAATCTGTAAAACTTACCATCCAGGGTAAATTACCAATCGACTAACATAAAAGATGATAGCAAATAAAGCAAAAAGGACGTCACAGATTCTCTGCAATCGACCATAATTAAACACTTTTGCAGCCTGGAAAACATAACATTGCATATCAAAATTCTGAAAATGCTGTGATTTGCAGAGAAAAAGAAATTTCGTACTGACTAGGACTACTAACTCTCCTGACGAGGGGCCTTGAGAGGTGTACGTACTTATCTCTTTTTCATCAGCCAAGAGTCATATTTTCGACCTACCTCTAACAAGTAATCAGCTGAATCATGAACAAGAATAATAAGACAACCAATACGGACATGGTTTGTAATATATGACATCACTATTAAAACTACTGTTGCATTATGGTGAATAAACATTGGCCAGAAATCCTGAAAGTAAAATAAATTATGAAACTCATGAATAGTAGTGAAAAACGTATAATAGCTAGTGTTTAACTATAGAAATACATTCCTCTAGATTTTTCAAACACTTCCTTTGTGAATTTTGTGCCGCTACGCTTCTTTACTTAACTACGATATTTTCATTCAACCAGGTACATGTACACCATCCAATTGATCAAAATGTTAAATGTATAACCACATTGAAAATTGAACCTATTTCGTTTCAGATATATTAATATATTTAGGAAAATCATTGAGAATAATTTCCCTTTTTCCCCAGCCGCCCAAAGGTGTCCATTTTTCGTTGTAGGGTGTGCCAGGACCAGTGGCGTAACGGAGGAGGAGGGGGCCCTTAGGTGTATTTGGTGTGGAGGCCCTGTTGACTGTTGTCATTGTTTGACATATTGAGATATTATATTTATATTGAATATTTATAGAATGTTCTGGAAAATTCCGTGTCTATATAACAAATTAACAATAACAATAACAGTCTCCAACACATGTAACAACTAATAAGAATAAACTCTTGTGTTATTTGAAATGAAATAAAAAAATCAGCTACAGTTGTTGATGGAGGCTTTATTATTTAGCATTATTAATTTTGCATTTTCCCATTGATTCTTAACCTGCATTTTTTACGTTTTCTAATTTTCTGGGCGATAGGCCGTGGCTGATGGGGGCCCCTAACTTTCGGAGGCCCTTAGCCCACTAACCCTACCTAATGTGCGTTACGCCACTGGCCAGGACGCCCTTCTCTAAAAGCCTGCACAAGCGTGAGGTTACTATACGCATATCCCTACCAGTTGGACGCTAAAAGCCTGTTCAAGTGTGAGGTTGCGCATATCCCTACTAGTTACGTAATTCGTAACTGTGAACCTAAACCTACCTTCCTTCGGACATCCATAAACTGTGAACAAATAAGCGATGTATAAAATGAAGCTTCGACCATGTAGTAGTAGTAGATTGGTTTTGTGACATGCTAAAATGTGAATCAAAACAATAAGAAAGTCTAAAATATTTAATATGTTAATTATACTGAATGCAGTCACATGTTTCAATTTTCACACATAAACTGCCCCAAACGAATCATTGTAATACAGAAATTGATAACGTTTCTGTACGTTTCTATTCTCTTTCTAACCTTTTGTGTCTGGTAATATACAGGGTGTATAAAAAATGGTAATCCAAAGTTGAATTTACAAAAACTTGATGCATACACATGCGCAACCTCGTTCCCAGGATCCTGGGAACGAGGTTGACACAGGAAAAAGTTATTTCGCTGACTTCAGAATGACATTTCGTCAAAAAAATTTTCTTCAAGATTGGTTTAGAAACAAACTTGGAGTAGGGTTAGGTTAGGGTTAGGATTAGGGTTAGAGTTGGTGTTTGGAATAGGGTTAGTGTTAGTAAAACCGTTGCTTTGTTACGTTTTGTCACTCTGAGGCCAGCGAAATAGCCTCTTCCGTTGACACATGCGTTGCGCCATCTTGATTCAAGCGACTTAATAAATCTCAAATGAGAATAATTTGAAGACGCTTTGAATACTCAGTCACAATAGCTTTACATGAAATTCCCAACGATGGAAAATGCGATTTCGAGTGGCATTTTTAAATCGCATCGTATTTGGCTATTTTTGATCGCAATGATACAAGAAAGATATCATTCGACAGCGCAAAGCCTGATCTTTATTGGTATGAAAATATATGCATGCCAAAGTTGAATTATCTTTTTTATACACCCTGTACATGCATGTACATTACAAGAAAGATATCGAACGCAAAGGGCACTAATTGCTACAAGCAGTTGTGACCCACAATCAGGCTTTTAGCCATTTTAACCAGGGTCCGGAAAGAGGGCGTCCAATTTTGGTATAACGATACATCTACAGTAAAGAGCGGGGAGGGGGGTGGGGTTGAGAAAACGTTCCTCTGGAAAACATTTGAAATTTACGTTACTTCATGTCAGTAACTGTTCCAAGCTCGTTCGAAATTTTTCAAACACATTTTGAAAACACGCTATGTGAGTTTGTGCCACCATGCTTCTTTATTTAACTACGACATTTTCATTCAGCCAGGTAGACCATCAAATTGATCAAAATGTCAAATGTATAATAATAATGAGAAATGAAGCTATTTCGGCAATTTTTTTCAATGTCACGTATTTGCAATGAAAAGTGTTCAAAACCTAAAATCTTTTTGGCGTTCCTCTCAAAATTACTTTATTTTAGCTTTATTCTCTAGTTTATAGAGTTAGCTACCTTTTTAAATGCATCTGCCAGTTGAGAAACATAAAATAATAGTTAAAAATTGTCAATTAAAATACAATTATCAATGATGCTCTAAAAATTGACGCCATATTTACAGTCATATAAGCAAAACTTACTGAACTTCAGACATCATTTTCTCTTTGGCGTATCATCTAAAATCTCTTCATTTTAGCATTATTTTACAGATAAAGCACTAGACATACTTTTTAAGTTTGTTTGCCGATTGAGAAACGTGTCGAAAAATAAAAATTTTGAATTTAGTCATAACCTCAAGTGGTATATTATACGCATTAGTTTTGAGCGCGTGTTACGTAACATACAAAAAAATCTCCTCTTAATATACTTAGGGAAATCATTGAAAATAATTTATCTTTTCCCCAGAATTTCTGCGTCCAAAGGCGTCCAATTTTTGTTCTACAGTATATGGGCGTCCCAGGACGCCTGGACGCCCTTCTGGCTAAAAGCCTGCCCACAATCACTGTGGATAAAAATGTTATAACCTAGGGGTTACTATCGCAAGGAAAGTGTTGCCTCGACGCGACAATGACTGGGCGCACATTGGGCTGCTTTCTCCCGGAATCCTTAAACGCTCGTATAGTCTTGATGAAACTTTGAAGAAATAAAGAATACATTATAGTTGTATTGCTTTTGCAAGAACACTATTTACTATTGCGTCCAAAGAGATCATATAGTCAGATGATGCGAGCGAATAGAAAAAACACGCATCGTACAATTTCCGTCTATTTGTTCAGTTATTAGTTTTCTAATGAGAATTTGTAAATCCAAGTGGACATCTGTTTATTATGTTCGGACAATCCAAACAGACAAACCACTAATGGCAACGCAAGTCGAGATTCGCAAGAATATATAAAAAGCGCAAAGAGTGGGCATGAATGAACTTTGGAGAAACGCAGGTAGCATCAAAAATAGTTACAAATCTCAAATACAAATCTCAACATACATAGTATGGGTAGTTGTACCAAGAGTGTCTTGTGTCAAAGAAATGTTTTTCCTGCAAGTAAAAAGAAAAATTCAGCAGAGTAGAATAAAAAAATTGAACAATACTAACAACTAAAACTTCAATGCAAGTTATTCTTGGATGTAAGAAATACTGCCTCCCCTTGCCAATAACAACAGCTAGTTTTGATGAATATTGTAGGTACATGTATTTGAATCTTGATTGATTCAAACATACTTTACTTAGGTTTTGGATTAAATTTAAAGAAATATTCCATAATGTATTTGGTGTTATTGTTCAATGTTAAAACAAACTACACTGTATAAAACTAAGTTATTCATATACTGGATAATTATATCAGTTCTATTAAAGCGCTCTCCCTAGATGTCCAGTCAGGAGGGAGGGGACCGAGGGCGAGGGGTGGCAATACAGAAACTTAGCCATTTTGCATTTCAAGGCAGTGAAGAATCTGAGACCTTCATATTAAGTTATTTTACTCTGATCCCCCCTCCACCTTACTTTTAGGGGTTTGTGGAGTTGGACTGTAGCCCCTAGAACCCCTGGTTCTAACACATACAGTATGTCACATGCAATTAAGGTAAAACTAGGATCTGACAACTGCATATTTCATCTAAACACAACATATTACCTTGTGTAACAGATAAAGGCCAGTGTAAAATGATGTAAAATAAAAAAGGAATCTCCAGCTACATAAAAAGAAAACAGAAAAAGCTTTGGATTAATGTTTTAGATAATTAACAATTAGAGATTTAGAGGAGCGTTTCTTTTGTAAATCTAGATTTGGATTTTTAGGATTCGTTAAACAAATGGAACGAATTGTGAGAATCGGAATTCGCCTGCTGTTTTTCCGCCATTTTTACAACAGGTTTTCTGCCCCACTATATCTTTCGGTCGGGTGAGGGTACATACTAGAAGCCAGAAGCTCAAAAGGAACGTTGAATCCTAATCAAGTTTCAGATTGAATCCGAAAAATCCATATGTTGAAGTGGATTCATCAGATTCGAATCTATACCAAGATTTTGTTAAATGAAACTAAAAATCGATAAATGGATTTGAAGATCCAAATCCGGATTGCACTAAAGGAACGCTCCCTGTATAGAGAGAGCCTTGTGCAGATTTTCAAATAGAAAATGTATCAGTTCTATTAAAGCCAGATGATATCGTTTCACCTCGCACGCACGCACGCACGCACGCACGCACGCACGCACGCACGCACGCACGCACGCACGCACTGCCTTCGATGACTAGGCTGCCGGCAAACTCGCTAAAAATAATCGAAAAAAACCCATTTTTCTAGCACTAAATAACTTATTAAATAATTTACTAAACCGGGCACTGAAAAGAACGCCTGGCATAGGCGTACGAGACAGGGGGCAGCCCCCCAAACAAATTTTGGAAAACCGTGGAAATTCGGGTAAATGCTAGGAAAAATCAAGAAAATTCGAGCAGATTTACCAGAAAATATGTTAAATTCAGGTTATTTCATTACAATCCTCCATAAAAATTCATTGATCAGTCCCGTACACCTACTGTATGACGCCCGGGATGTAATAAAATCCGCCTCAATAACAATGGGCGATTGATTTAACCTGGTTGGCCTTGAGTGAACATCTCCACACAAGAGCATACGATTAAAATGAATTCTTCTAGAGTTATTAACACCTTGTTCGGCTTCTTTGGCCGAAAGAAAAACAAATTAATTTGGACAGGAACACTTGGTGATCTTAAAGCTTTCGCTCTGACGATAATTGATGAGCAAGCAGCCCAAAGTTCGAAATGGCATTCACCTAGCGGCGGAAAGTGGTGCTTCAATAGCGAGCAGCTAAAAGTTGAGTGGCACTCAAAGAGCGAATCTATATCCTTTGATGGAGCCAAAGCCAATGATTTATGTGATCAAATAC